GGGGGGAGGGTATTAGGGAAAGAGCCCAGGGTATTCCAATGGAAACACATTCTCAACGCTTTTGTTTGAGACAGAGTCCTACAAAGTCACTCACACTGCATTCAAACTTGTAATCCTCCTGCCTCAGCCTCCCATATTGCTGGGATTATAGTCATGCAGTACCATGCCCAGCTAATGTATGAATGGATAAACAAGTGTATGAGACATATATTTATATATTAAGCCTTAAGGAAGAGGGAAATTTTGATGATAAAACTTGGGAGAACCCTTTGAAATAAGTCAGCCACAAAAAGACAATGTAGCCCAGCAGGCTAGGCAGGAAGACAATACATAGTGAGGCTGTCTCTAAAAGGAAAAAAAAAGAAAGAAAAGAAAAATGTGCAATTCTCCTTACACAGAGTACCTAAAATAAACTCAGAAAGTAGCTATGAAATACAGACGTTTAATTCTGTAAGAAATTTTGGAGAACAGATGTACAATCAATCATATGAATATACTTACACTACTAAGTTACATACATAAATAACACGAAGACAGTAAATTTCATGTTATTTTATCAAGATTTAACATTTTCAAATAAAATTTTGAAAAAAGGAAAATTATCATTTTCTTTAAAAAAATCAAGCAACATATGGTTAGCTGTGGAACACAGAATATTTAATTACATTCTACTAAAAAAATTACGTATCTCTGCAGTCAAAACATATTATGAATTATACAATGTATTTGTAAGTGACAAAAATTAAAGTGAAAACAATAATAATCACTTTATTAAACAATCAGTCCTTCCTCAAATGGAAAACAACAAAAGAACAGAATTATAGCTCACCAACAATTTTAATTTTAGAGGAATAGGAATCCTAACACATATAGCCATAATTTGCCCACATACTTACATTAATAAATCAGTATTTTTGAAAAAAAAAATCTAAAATTTGGCTCTTTCTTCAGTTTAGGAAGTAGCAAGTTAACATCTGACATATTAGTTTTCCATTTTTAAAAATATGCTTTTTCTCCCAAAGTTCTTATATATTTAAAATTTTAAATATTGTTAAGCACATTACAACAGACTGGCTTATGTAAAAATTGCTAGTAAAGCTCCAAATTAAAACGAATGTTTTTTCATTGGAATACTAAATAAGAAAGAGTACAGTTCCGGTGATTATCAAAGATAACAAAACTAAATTATAATCCTAGTTTATTTTACTATTATACAATAGAGAAGAACTTCTTCCAAAGACAAATAGACAACAAGCATAGTTTTTACCAGCTTTGTGCTTCTGCTTAAACCTAACTATTGTTAAATTATTCCTAAGATTACGTGAATTTGTTTATAACCTCAAAATCATGTAGAATAAAGTAGAAGATTAAATAATCTTTTTTGACTAAATATGAATGGATATTCAGATTTAAAATCCCTTAGAATTTCTCATTCTTTATAGGATAAAGAAAAACTTCTTAATAAGGTTCAACTCTAATCTTCAAAGCCTTATTCCCCCAACTCTAATTGTTCAAGATAAACAAAATGTCTTAAGATTCACAGCGTTCTCTGTTGTCTCAAAGATCTTGTGACTTTATGCCTACTTGGAGTCCACCCATTAGTCGGGCACTAGGATGTAACAAGCAAGACAGCTTTTTCTACAGTCCCAAACTAGAACAAATGCCACCTAGGGACATTACACTTTTATTGCACCATATAATTCTTTATTCACAGCAATTACTGCTATAGTTCTATATTTGTTTGTATAGTCAGTGGTTTAGCTATTTTTAATCTTTTGACAGTAAGCTTTCTCTAATTGGAGATGTATAATATTAACCACTATGGACCTTGTATGCACAGCACTGCATGCAGCATTCAAATACTTGTGAGTTAATGCACTAATATCAAAGAAATGTACAAGATAAATCTTCCTTACCCAAAGTACAGTACATTCCCAGAACAACCTTATAAATCCACTGCTTCTTGAAAAACAAAAGCAATAAGCCTTATTTTCATTCTGTAACATAAATAGCAATGCCTGAAGACTTTATGGTCAATCAGACATACAAACGTAAGTATCACATGGTTTCTCTTACAGAAGAAACCCAAAATAGAAATAAAGAACAAAACAAAAGATAATAGGAAACAGGCAGACAACTCTTGGAAAAGGAAAGGAGACCTAGACATAGAGGGAGGTGAAGAGGGATAAAAAAATTCACATGTGTTGTGTAAGCATACTAACTCCCTGTGATGAATGTAATCATTATGTACTACAAACATGCAAGCATAAAAAATTTTTAGATTCCATGGTTATTTTACAAATCTTTTTTGATAAAATGCTCTCATTAGTTACCATCTACTTACATGTGCTATTTTAAATAAAATTTTGGTTGTATTTCTGAAACGCTTTCTGTTATTAATCTCATTTCTAGAATACTAGCTATTACTGAAGCACCTGGATTTCTGGAACACAAACCTGAAACTCACACAACAAACCAAACTGTTATGTAAATGAGAGAACCATGGTCTGTAACATCTCTGGACAAATTTAACTTTTACCATTAATATCCTGTTACTTGACTATAGTCATTTCAAGTCCTGGATAAATACAAGGCTGATTAGAAAGAAAATTTTCCAACAACCTTTATAAAAATTAATCTTTAAACACATCTACCAGTTACAGATTTTCTAGATTGCTATCTGCTTATGTATTTGATAAAGGCAGACTGTTTTTTGTGATAATCGTGCTCTGACAATTTTGTAAAGTTAAATTTTATAAATGAAAATCACACCCTGTTCATAAATCAGAACTAGAATTTTTCATTTTTGTCATTCTGAACAACGGACTGACCTCTAGTTTCATTTATTAAATTCTTCATTAATGATTCCCATGTCTTAGAATAGTTTTCAGGCATAGACATGATAAAACAGGCCTTAATCAAACATGCCAGGGCCCTTTGTTTCCTCAGTGCTATTCAGGAATTCTAATAGGATTATGCAGAGTAAAATAAATATTTAAGTAAAAGTCACTCCATTTATGCTTCTTTTTCCTTGTTCTCTTTTTAAATTTACATATTAATAAATGGAGGTTTTCTGGAGTTTTCTTTAAATTTTATTACTAATTTAGAGCTTCAGTATAGTTATTTATATATAGTTATATTTTAAAAAGGGTGCTAATTAATCAAAATGTTGCATAAGTAAAAGCCACACTTCCTAAACAGCCTATCACAACCATGTAAACTTATCAAAAGTTAGCAACAGAAATACCATTAGATTATTTAACAAGAAAAAAGGAATGCAAAATCCTACCTTTGGTTATAGATAAATAGTAATTTAAAAATGCAAAATTGGGAAAGCCAGGAAACGTGAAATTTATAAAAACTAGAATTCTTAAATTTTTACATTCATTTACATTTTATAGCTCTGGAATTTTGTTGAATTTCAATAAAGAAGAACCCAAATGGAAAAGCTATAAAATAAAAAACAAAGTTGTATAGTTCAACTGTGAGTCAATAAAGTCCTCAGGCTCTTTTTCGTTCTAAGAAGAAAGTACCCACTACCCTGACACAGTAACGATTAGGCAGGAAGTTTTGCTCTAAGAGAATCCCCATCTGGCAGCCACGTTTTGTCAAGCAAATTGAGAATTTTCTACCTTCCCCCTTTCTCTCTCATTATAGAATTTTACAGAAACTATTTTGTCCACACACGCACATTTTCTTGGTCATTCTGCCCCTATCAAACTCCCTTTGCCAGAACCCTCCTGCATTATGATGCTATAGTAAGAGACATACACTGACAATTTTCTACCCGAATGAATGATAAATCACAAAGGAAGACCTCTCCTCTGAAAAGGTACACTATTACGCTGATAATAATCTCAAGATTACATAATAATAGATTTTCCATACAGGAGCTTAAAGTATCAACAATAAAGTAAATACTGTAGAGTTAAGTGCCTTCCAAGTCTGTGGTATACTTTATTCAACTAAATGCCACACATAAGATGTGCTATGAAGCAAGGATTATATACATTTTCAAACTTCTGTAAATACAGCAGAACCTTCCTGGGAAGCGAGCTGGGCTTCTACCATAGAGTTATTTTTAGGGAAAGTCTCCGAGACTCTAGGCTTTTTCTTTGCTACCAGGCTGTGTCATGCTCTCTAAGCAAACCTTGCAGGCACTGTTTTCCCCTCCTTATTTCAGCCACGCTGTTCTCTCAGCAAGTACCCAGAGTCAGCTGGCCAGGTTTCTCAACAAGTCTGAAGAAGGATGAAGACACTCCACTTCTTGAAAATACTGCCTGCAGCCTGGTGAACAAGGTGGGTGGAGGGCTGTGTGTGATGTACTTATGGCCCTGAGGGCCCAGCCAGGGGCTCCCCCATACCACCAGGGAAATGCCTTCCACTTATTTCCATGGAGTTCACTTTATAAGAAAATGAGCTTCATGAATCATGAATGATTTTACAATGTTAACAAAAATTCACAAGCTGAGTGCTTCCTCACATTTGATGACCTGATCAATAAGTAATCTTGCTTTATGCATATTTTTATTTAAAAACAGCACCATGCTCTGGGATGTATTTTGAAAAGCAAACTTTATCAGCAAAAGCCACAAAAAATAGAAATAACACATGGCATTCAGCACATTATAAACAGATGCTTGTTTACGGTATGTGAGGTAAAACATTATTTCGTTCAGTTTCAGTTGAAAAATGTGTGCATGAGGCAAATAAAAATTTTCACCACTCTGCACATCTGTGAAAGACCCAATTCTTCAAGTACTGACTAATAGGTTGCAAACAAGTGTGATACATAAATGAGTCTGCAAATTCAGAAGCTACAAGTAATGAGCAGGAACTATATGAGTTAGAAATTTCAATGAAATCTCGGACTTGATGGCCAACAAAAGCTACAGATCTGAGAAATCCTAATACTGTTAATGCAGACTTAAGAGTTTGGGACAAGAATGATTCAAAAAGTAAGATGTAAGATGGGTATTTTTCAAAACATTGCTTCCTACCTGATATATTCTAAAAGGAATATAACGAAATCCATTTTCTTCTGCAGGATATTCCATGAGTTTCCGATTGATGGCCCAAAACTGGTCAAATCTGTCTGAAATGACATAAATTACTAGTTATTAAAAGGAACACTACAATAAGACATGGAAGTTTTAAAAACCTTTTACATGTTTCTGAAAAGGCATCAACTGTACCATATTTTTTCTTTATCCTTTGAGTGGGGCGGGGCATGGAACCCAGGTTGAACCTCGGGCCTCGGGCATGCTGGATCAGCACTCTACCTCTGAGCTACATCTTCAGTCACTCCCCTTCATTTTTTGAGACTGGGTCTCATACAATTGCCCAGATAGCCTTGAACTCACAATCCTCCTGCCTCAGCCTCCTAAGTAGCTAGGATTATACAAGCATACATATTTTCTTAGTCTTATGGCTCCATAATTAACCATACGGCAAGATATAAAATTAACTTGTCTTTCATTATTTCTTTCTCTTACCTACTCAAGGAAACAATTTTTCTTATAGGAAAAATCCTCAACAGATGTATGAGTATGTATGTCATCAAGGCAAATAACACCTGGCAGGAACAGCTATCTTCACTCTCCCCACCATCCTCCTACAGTTAATCCCTAAGTGACCTAAATATTAGCCAGAACTTGTATGAACAGTCAAAATCCTCAACACTGGAATCATTAAACATCAAAGATAAAAGTACAGAAAAAGTTTTAACAGAAATGTAGACTTGGCACTTGAGAACTATCAAATGCAACTTAATCTCAGATTAATCTTCTTCAAAATGTTTTTGGGTTCAACTTTTTAAACAATGTACTAAGACAAAATATGCATACACAAATTTCATCCTGTTAAAAGTCTACAATTCAAGACAATTAAATATACTCACAGTTCAACACACTTTATATAAATGGAATCACATAGTATGTGGTCTTCTGCATTTGGGGTTTTTCCCTCACTGAGCATACTAATTTGACATTTAATCTTTGTTGAAAACTGTACTAGAACATTTGTTTTTATGACCAAATAAGAATTCCACTGATGGAATCAGCAGATTTTATCAATCAGCTAATGAACTGTTCATACTTTCTGGCTAATAAAAATAATGTTACTCATCATCAGTGCACAATTTTTGTGTGTGAATGTTTTCAGGTCTCTTGAGTTTCAACCTAGGAACGAAATTCTGTTTAACTACATGGCAAGTATGTTTTGAGATCTGCCAACACATTTTCCAAAATGACTGGACCACTTTACAGTCCTACCAGCAATGCTTGAAGGTTCCAATTTGTCCAAAATCTTGTCAATTTTTACTATCATTTTGATTATAGTGAACCTAACAGGACAGCAGTATTTCAGTATGGTTTTAATTTGCATTTCCCTGATTACTAATTCTTGTGTTTACTGGCCATCTGCATATGTGGAAAAATGTCTGCCAACTCCTTTATTCTTCTTGAATTGCAGTTCTTTATGTATTCTGGATACATGCACCTTATTTGATACATGATTACAAACATCAATCTCTGATTCTATACACTGCTTTTTAAGCAACTTTTTACCTAATCTAGAAATCTAACTTGTACAAAACTGTTTTACGCTCAAAAATTTTTATAAAATCAAATCTCCATACTAGTGCACTTATCTTAATCCATTCTACTGGCAAACTAAAAATGTTGCTTAGGCTCCGTAATAACTATACAGAAAGCAAAATGAAGTTGATTTTAATCTTATTTTTATTTTATGGTTTCTGGAGAAAGATTTTGCTAACTCAGGTCCTCTTGCTTCAGCCTCCAGAGTGCTGAGATTACAGACATGTGCCACCACACTCAGCTGAGATGATTTTACATACACCAGTACTGTGGTAGAACATGACAGGCTTCAGGCCTTTTCTACTTCCACCCTAAAAGTGCAACCTGAGAGCTGCTCAAACTATATTAGAACTGACAAGATAATTTTACAAGATGCAGTTAAAAGTTGTTACCTATTTAATTAAGAACCAGGACCAGAAGAATCTGGGTCTTCTAATTCAAAGTCCATGACTGTTTCAAAACTGTGTCTTAATAGCCAAGAGTGGTAGCACGAACCTACAATCTCAGCTGCTTGTGAGGCTGAAGCAAGAGGATCACAAGTTTCAGCCTACCCTGGACAATTTACCAAGACTCTGTTTCAAATTAAAAAAAAAAAAAAAAAAAAAAAAGGAAATAAAAAGTGATGGTAATGAGCTCAGTGATGGATCACTTTCTACAAAAAAAAAAAAAAAAAAAAAAAAAAAAGAGCAGCTCTTTTGGCACGGTCCAGTCACACACAAAACAATTACTCTTTAAACATTTTTTAAGTTTCTATCATCAGATATCAAAAAGAATGTGGCAGCTAACTCAAATGTTTCTTTTAAAAAAATAGTTCTTCATATATACTTGAAAATGTTACTCACTGCTTTGTCATTTAATCGCTAGCACCTAGCATGGTGCATGCATAGTTATACTCTTGGATCAAAGAATGAATATAGTAGAACACTAGAACACAGTGTTTCTTAAAAAAAAACTGGTTTTTAACCCGAGCCCTGTAGCTAAATAGTAAGGTGACTCGAAACAAAAACTACTGAAAATTCCAATTGAATCCACAAACAAATTCAATAAAAGATTTAGATTTTTCAATGTCTCTTCTAAAAATAATCTTATAATTATTTAAGACTTTTATTAAAATTAAACTAGTTAAAAAACATAAGCAAACTCTTAGTATAACAAAAGTTTATACAAATGCTAATAGAGAAAACAACATAGGCTAAAGCGATAGTTCTCAACCAGGGAAGACTTTGCTTCCTTGGGAAAATATGGTGATATGTAGAGATATTTTTGATTGCCAAATCTTAGTCTGTACTAGGATTTCAGGCCAGGAACACTGAGAATACTACAGCATATACACAGAATAGCTCTCCAAAACAATTATCCTGAGCCAAAATGTACGTAGTATTAAAGTAACGGGAACAATCATGAAAAAAAAAGCTCAGAAAAGTTTTTAGCAACTGCAAAAAGCAGGTGGATGAAAACAGAGCAACACTGCGGCAGCTGGTAATGTAGTGAGCTAGCACCACGCGGGCTCACTCTTCAGTGAACACTCTGCTCCATGGACAGGCGTTTTCTAAACCAGGGAAGCACATTAAGATTTCGCAGCAGTGTTAAAAACAGATTCTTCTGCAGTTCCCATACGCTGCCTGATGGAGCAGTGGCACTGGAGTAAGGACATCAGGTGGAATGCCAGCCCAGCCACGTGCTCAGACGCACCCTGGCAACCTGGGCCCTGTCTAACAGTCATGTGCGCTCTCAACACAGACTCTGGCACTCAAAAGTCTTCCTGTCTTGATGAGGGACTCGAGGCTCCAAAAGGGCTTCCAGTTTGCCATGTTCCATGCAGACCTCCACATCCTCTTTATGCCACTTAACCTTTAACCGGACAGACTACAGACTGTAGATGGGCTCAGAGATACCTTCCCAAAGAGGTCTAAATCTTTAGACTCGAAGAAGGGCCCCTGTACATCTATCTTTTATTGTCTTATTTATAATCACTCTTCTATCACAGTTTAGTAATTCTTTAAAAGAAATTTTACTCCGTTCAACTCACTGTACAGATTCTATGCCCTGACTGGCTTAAATAAAACCACGTTTAAAGGGAAGAAAGATAAAATAAAGGATCTGTATTAATTAATATTAATCTTCTCGGCCAAGGATTTAGGTCAGTGGTATAGGCACCTGTCTGGCAAGTGCAAGGTCATGAGTTCAATCCCTGGTACAAAAAAAAAAAAAAAATTAATTTTTTTCATGTTATATACCTGTATGAAACGGCATCTAAGCAATACTAAAAATGCTCTAACCAGAGGTAAATGTTATTAACAGAAAAGACACAGACATAAAATCATGGTATGAATGAGCATATATTCAAGTATCTCTCACGGCAGGTTTAGTAATATTAGTATCTCTTCCATACTTTAATCAACAGTTATGAAAAAGTGATGGGCCATCCAAGAGCTGAGCAGCAGCAAGACTGCTTAACAATGCGAAGTCCTGGTTCAATCCTCAGCACCACAATAGATAAATTAATGCAGAAGAAATGATGATTTACTATCAATCTATATCTTAATGAATCGAAAACATATTGACCTCTTTTTAATCAAGAGTTTAAGTATTGGAACTATGCTATTAATTACAAGTGAGTCATAAAATTAGTGATTTGTCTTATCAAGGACAATATCTATAAGCAACAAGCAGAATAATCTTTGGCTATTCACATTTTAAACTGCATGTACTTACAGATTTATTATGAATCTACAGTGATACACGGAGATCAATTTCAGCAATTTTCAAGTTTACATGCTTCTAACTCCAAAACACAAAAATGAACTAAGTAGAAAAAAACTAAAATTAGAAGCCACTTAGCCTTATGGGGGAAGAGGGACTTTGAGACAGAGGCTCACTCTGTAATTCCAGCTGGCGTTGAACTCATCACACAGCCTAGGTGGCTTCCAACTTTCTTTTTGGAAAGGAAAGACAAAAAATATACTTCCTGCCAAATATATGATAAACAGTTGCATTTTTAAAGATAAGGCATTTAAGAAAAACAACAAATCAAGGATCATAAAAGAGGTTATATAGAAATCACCTATTCTTTAAAAAAGAAGAAAAATAGAATTTTTCAAAAATTCTGGTAGCTACCAATTTTTCCTCATTGTCTGCTGTATTAAGCTATTATACTATTCTTACAAATTTCTAAAAATTCAGTTGGGTATATGAGTACATAAGTACCTGAGTACCTAAGTTTGATCCTCAGGCACACTGAAAATTAGTTAACTAACTTCCAATGTCTCTCCAAGACATAAAGTTGCTTACATTTGTCCCTGACATGACAAAAACAGCAGCAACGTTAAAGGCTTATCCTATTCCTTCACTTACATTTTACAAGAGCAAAGAACTGCAGGCAAAATAATTTTCAATCTTATGCTACAAGTAATGTAACTAAGATCTTCCACAGGGGACATGGGGGACATGCAAAGGTGCTCAGGGATTTCTACAGAAGTTCAATTCAGCTGGGTGGGAC